CAGGAGGTCCTCTTAACATTACTACATGAGCTTGGAGGAGTTCAGGTTTCTAACTAAAAGGAAAGAAGGGAGACAGACTTGGAGCTAGGATTGTTACTGTGACTGGACAGGAGAAAAACTGGGAGAAAGTACAGCAATTAATGATGCAGGTTTGAAGAGGAGAGACTACAGGATTGATCTGATTTGATCATGGGGACCCAGTAAAGTTACTACTCTGACTTCAGCACCAAGAAGGAACATGACTCCCATGAGGAGGAAAATCCCCCCTTAAACATCAGTAGAGAGCAACTCAGAGAGCCAGAGCTCAGCTGAGTCCCCTAAGTGAATGACAGCAGGCCTTGCTGATAGGCCAACTCCAGTTCCCTAGAAAGTTCTGAAATCAGACCTGGCCATGTCATTTTCCTACCAAAATGAAATCAAAAGTGCTTTGGCCCCCATGAACACCAGCAGGGAGAAGCCACCCACTGAGCAAGTTTTCAAGGCTTGCAGCCTTTTTGTAGAGCCAATATCTCTGAAAACATTTGACTTGTTCTTTAAAAATGGAAGTTCTACTTTAGAAAGAAAAGTAGCAGTGCAATTGAAGGGGGAAGAAAACTTCTGGGGGCGATTTGCTTAGTCCACCTCTGGGTTCGCATGGGGGTGGCTGAAGAGGATCCCCTTTAGGAATGAAAATGGTCCCTGGTGGGTCCCCGGTCATCCTCAAATGCGCACACATCAGAATGGGGGCCCTGGAGACCTCACTCTCAATTTCAGCTGAAGGCACTCAGTGAGAACCAATCACTCTTCGTGGATCCTCGGGACCTACTTCTTAATGCTGGAGGGGGATCTGCATCCTGCTGGGTTTTCTAAACATCCCACTTACTAGTTCCAAGAATTAGCTACACGCTATTGCTTAGTGGTAATTTTTTTTTTCTCGCTCAGAAAACCGCAAAGGGATTTAACCAAGAGGAAGCAAAGGTTTTCTTTTTATAAATTCGATTAGTCTTTTCCACTTTCTCTGCCCCTGGACGTTTCCTCCGGGAGGAATTTTACACCCCTTAGCGAGGCACTGCTCCTTGCGAGGCTCGGTGAATTGAAGCACACCGTGGACATAAAGTAAAAGTCTCCAGCTTTTGCGGTCGCCAGCCGGGTCAGTTTCTAAGTGCCGGTGTGGGAGAGGAAGACGAAGTTTGCGGCGCCAGACAGTAGGGGAACCTTGACCTGAGTGGAATCCCGCCTCCGCTAGCAGCCTCTGAATTTCCCTCCTGAGCCAGCACCTGGATGTTGCAGAGGCACGGGTCTACCTCGGAGGTGGGTGACAGGAGGCCGCCCCGAAACTGCGTTTTAATCACCCGGCCAGGACTGCGAGATCAAAGAGCGTACAGATCCCTCAGCCAGGGTGGAGACACCCACTCTGCTCTCGCAAGTTCAAAGCCCCGCCAGGGTCCGAGGGAGGGGAAGTTAGGATTTGCGAGACAGCATATTGCTTAGGAAAAGAACCTGCGAAACTCCCAGGAAAGCAGAGTCCCAGGCTTGGAAAAGGCAGAATTCCACAGATGCTTTCCAAATTTGGTTTTCACTTTATGTCACCGCCCCCCCACACAGCGCCCCAAGTCCAGAAAAGAACTCTAAAAGTTGGAGTTGGACACGCCACCTCTGTCTTCTGTTCCTCCCACCTCTCACCCCGGCAGGCTTCCAGACAAGAAAAATACAAATAAACCCCAGGTGGTTAATGTGGGTGCATCCAGGTGCCCCATCCCCAAACACATAAACGCACGCGCGCGCGTGTATGGGCACACACGCGCGCGCGCGCGCACCCCCCCACCCCCCCTACCCCGCCCCCAGACTCGGCACACAAAGCTCACCACCCACTTGGTCCCACCCACCTCCGGGGAGGGGAGGGACTGGGAACCTGATCTCCCGGCTCCTGCCCAGAACGTTTCCCCATCAATAATGTTGATACCATCGAAGTGCCTGTTCCCCGCCCCCGGGGCGCCGTTGCCGCCTTTTTGCCGCTTTTTGCCTGGTGCAGGAAAACGAAACCTCTTCCACTGCGCCTGGAGTCTCGGCCTGGGGCCAGCAGGGCCTAGCCCTGGAAGTTTTGGGACCGAAGGCGTGGGCAGGGGACTTGAGGATGACCTCCACTTCTGGGGTAGGGTGCTCCACCGGCATAGGCCGAATCGGAAAGGGGGTCGGAGACCTAGACAAGGCCTCACACCAGGTACCATCCCAGACTGGAGTCAGACTGGGCCAGAATTAGTCAATTTTACGGGCAGCAGAACCAGGCCTCAGAATGGGAAGCTTTTATGCCACTACCCCTTCCTAAGACTGACGGCTGAACCAAGCAGCCGGAAACCCCTTCCTGGGGAACGCGGTCGCGGCCGTCGGGCTTAGGCCACGGCCTTCAGTCCCGCCAATCCACAGAGGGCACGCTATATCTCGGGAAAACGGAGGGTTCATATTCAAAGGAACAGGCACCAAACCCCCGAAAAGGAGTGTGCACAACAGCCAGGCGCCTCCGCCCTGCTGTTCCTCTTGGTCTTCGAGGTCGCGACCCCTGTACAACTGTCGCCTCACTCACTTTGGGCCACCCCCATTCCCTATAGCTGATCTGTCCCCAAGGACCAGGGCCTCTAGGGGAACCTGCAAGCTGCAACCCGATTGCCCATCCGCCGCCCCCATCCGCGACTAGGAGGGCGCGACCCCATGGAACGCGCTCAGGCCTCAAGGTGTGCAAGCATGGGAAGGGACCCCCGCTGCGACACCTTGCTCCCCCTTTGGTTTCTGGACCCGTTCAAAGACTAAAACGAGTGTCCCCTTTTATTGACTTATTACGTCTTTACATCACGGCATGCGGAGCCTAGCCAGCTCGCTGACACTTCGTCGACCGCACCAGCGAACCGCTGAACTTGGGCGCGAGACAATGGCCCGTAATTGATGTATCGCCACCAACAATAAAGACCAATTCTCCTCTCCACGCCATTCTGACCGTCCCCTTTCTCCCACCCCCCTCCTCCACCTCCCCTCTTCTCTCTCCAGGCCAAAGGGAAAGAAAACAAACAAGAAATTAGCGAGGGATGCAGCGCGCAGAGCTGGGAGCCGGCCCCTGCGTCGTCGAGGACCCCAAAGAACGAAAAAAGTTATTAAAGTTTAGAAACCCCCAATTAAGTCGTCTCTGCTCGCCCGTTTTTAATTAAGCGGTGCGCAACACTTTTTGCGTTTTCGTTTGCGGGTTGCTGCATTTAGTGGGAGGGACAGTTCCCCCATCCCTATCACACAGAGAGCACGGAGCACGTGTGAAGCTAAGTCCCGGAAGCTTCCCGCGAGTTCACCGCCGAGGTTTGCGGGACCGCCAGCTCCACTCGGTTCCGGCAGCATGAGTGCGCTGGCGGCCCGCACGTTCAAGCTAAGACTACTAGAGGCCGATGCCAGCGGCTCCAAACGCGGGCACTCTTCGGGAAGGAAGACGCGAGTGCGCGTGGAAGTCTCGGTGTACCCCGAAGGGTGCGCATGGGTGTGTTTTCGAGCGCGCCCGCTTCTGGGGTGGGGGCGGCTGAGGGATTTAAAAGTTCTGGGGTTTGAACACGTTCCCGGGGGTTTGGGTAAAGCGAGCGGCTCGCACCCCAGGAGCGCGCAAATCCATCTTTGCCCAGGGATCTCTTTAAATATTCAGTGAGAAATAATGGCATTTGAAGCACCACCTATGGAAACATTATTATCTTCATTCTTCAACATCAGACCCACTGATAGCTTCGTTTGTCTTTTTATCAAAATCTACTGTACCCAACAGGACCTGGGGAGAGGGAGAGCGAGGCGCAGGATGGCAGGAGAGGGAGACCAGGGAGCCGCGGGTGGGGGTGGGGGAGCAAACGCAAAACTAAGGTAGGAAGGGCGAACGGGGAGAATGAAAAGAGGGCGAAATTATAACAAGAAAAAGTAATAAAGCCAGCAGATGAAAAAGACATTCAACCAACACACACAAAAATTAAGGCTAAAAAATATTGTGTAAGGGGAAAAAAAAAAAAGATCATTTCGGGAGCGCGGCGTGGGTTCGGAGTTCTGAGGCTCTGCCCGGGAGGCTGGTGCCCACTTCCAGCGAACCGACTGTGCACTATCCAGACTCGAAGGCGCTTCGGAATTGGGGCGTCCTTATGAGCCCTCTCCTTTCCCGATCGAGAGATAGGGCAAGGATTGTGTGTCTGCACACCCTCCCCCACTACCCCCAGCACTCAGTCGAAGTTTAGAGTTTAGTCGTTCGGGAGCAGGACTACGAGAACCTCGGCGAGAGAAGACCCCGAGGCGCCAGGGGAAGATCTAGGCTGAGCCGAGGACCGAGCCTCAGGTTCGCGGGCTTAGGCGCCCGGCAGAGGGAGTGTAGTGGGGTCCCGGCTCCCAGTTCCAGGGCTCGGGCAAGGGAGGCGGCCTTCCAGCTAAAAGTTTTGGGCGCCGCGCGTGGCAAGTGCCGGAAAAGTGAAGGCGAGCTGCAGCGCAGCCAGGGAGCAGCGGCCGGGAACCCCCACCCCGCTCGCTCACTCCCGGTCCAGGGCAAGGATCCCGGGGGTCCAGGGCGCTGGGGGTCAGGGTCGGGCTCCGGCTGCAGCTCCCAGGCCCGGGGCTGCCCCAGAACTGCCTTAGCCGCGCCCCTCCCTTCCTCCCTCCCTCCCGCCGGAGCAGGACTCGGAGCCCATGCGGGTCCAGGCTCTCCACCCGCCCGGGGCTCAGCGGCGCCACCGCTGCCGCCACCTCCCCGCAGAGTGACGCGCCCTGCAGCCAACCGGGGCAGCTGGGGGGAGGTTCGGGAGGGGTCCTGGGCGGAGCCGAGCCGCCCCTTATCCCACGGGCTCGGGGCGCTTCTCCCGAAAACTTCAGCCCTAATTGTCCTGGGAATGTCCGAGGTAGAGAAAGGGAGCCTGGGAGCCAGCGACGGGCTGGAACATCGCAGCCCGCGGGGAGGGGGAGGGTGGGGGGTGGTGAGAACACTGCCCCCCCCCCCAGGCCCCAGACCCAGCACCTTCCCAAACCTTTCCTGGGTCCTCTTCGCGCCCCCGCGAGCCCGGGATCCTGGGGATGGAGAACTCCAGCCGAGGGAACGCCGAGCCGGGCGGCGGGTGGGAGAGAGGGAGGCCCGGCCGCGGGCGGGAGGCGGACCGGCGTGGGGCTGGCCCTTCCCCACTCGCTTATTTTTTTTTTTTTTTTAATGAGGGTGGGGGTGGGCTGCTTTCTGGTAGCTCGTAAAGAAATGCAGGAACACTCAAAACGGGACGCCCTCCCCGCGAAATCCCACCACAGGACGCCTACCCCCCTATTTCACCACTGGACCCCATCCATTCACACGCCCCCGCCCCCGCCAGCCCGCCACTGGATGCCCTCCCCCCGCGGCCCGGTCGGCTCAACGCGGGAGTTGGGAAGTTCGCGCGCCCGGAGCTCCGGTCCCCACCCCCACCGGCCCGCGGCGCCCGGCTCCGGGGAGGGCATGCTAATTCGGGTCGGCCCAGCCCGGGATGGGGGGAGGGGAGGGGAGGAGCGGGGGGCGCCGGCCGGGGCGCTGGGCGCTCAGTGGCGAGGACGCAAGCCCCCGGCGGCCGCGGAGTCCCGGGCGGTCGCCAAGAGGGTTAACCCAGTGCCGGGCGGCGCGGCGCGCAGAGCCAGCCCCGCGGCCGGCTTATTGGGCCAGCGCGCGGAGAGACAGGGGTCTGCAGCAAATCACGAACTAATTGATTAAGGCGAGCGGGTTTGAATAGCGCTGGCCCGGTGCCAATCGCCTTTCAAAGAGCCCCTCTATGATTAATCGCAATGCATTATTGATAATCATAATTATAGCAGGACACATGCGCGCTGCGCCCGGGGCCGGGGAGCCGGGGAGGGGGCGGGCGGGCCGGCGGGAGGGGGGACCGCCGCCGCCGCTCGATTTCCGTAATTTTGAGAAGATTTTTTTTTAGTAATTTTTTATTCTGCCCCAGCTGATGTTTGAGCCAGCATGTCGCGGAGGAAGCAAGCGAAGCCTCAACATTTCCAATCCGACCCCGAAGTGGCCTCGCTCCCCCGGCGAGATGGTGAGTGTTCCGGGCCGCGCCGCGCCGCGGACACACAGACACACGCACTCACGCGCACACTCGGACCCACGCACACGCGGGGGTCCCGCGCCCACCGCCCCGCCGCCGCGTCGCTTGCTGCCCTCGGCGTGGCTTGTTTTATTTCATTCTTTCTCGATTTCCATTGGCCGGGCCACGCTTTCCCTGCCCCGAGAGAGCCGGCCGGTCCCGGCAGGACCTTTCCGGAGTTGAGCGTCCTCGCCCGGCGGAGGCTCGGCCCGTCGGCCACGCTTTTCCGCCCGCGGTGTTCCGGGGATCTGCGGGGACAGGCCGGCCGTGGCTGTCCACGCGGGGCCCCTCACTCCCCACTCGCCGCACTGGGAACCCCGGGCCTCGCCGCTCAGCCCCGCTACCAGCCGGAAAGAAGTTTACTCGGAGGGGGTGGCTGCTCGCCGAGCGCGTGGGAAGCTCGCTGCGCCCCCTCCCCACGCTCCCAGTCCTGCTCGGCCAGCCGGCCAAGTGGGGCGTCTTTGGGGGTTCAGCGCTGTGAGAAGCCGGGAACTGGGTCGGGTGCAACTCCCTGGGGTCGCGGGCCGAGTTTGCGCCGCGTTCCTCGGAGACCGTGCCTAGGGACAGAGAGGTTTCGCGCTCTGGCTCCCCAAGTTTTCCCCGCATCTTTTCTCCCAGCATTGCACCCTTACCCCACCCCACCCCCAATTCGGGCTTGGGTTTGTGCCCTCCGCGAATTGTGGCGTCCCATCCTTCCTGGCTGGTCCGGGAAAGCGACCTGGGGTGGTTTTCAGGTCTGGGGGTTAGCCCGCCGGAGGAGACTCCCCCGAAGCAGGCAGTCGGTTCTCCGGTGCAGGCGACCGCAGCTGGGTCCCGGAGGAATGGACAAGTCCCGGAAAAGTTTGTGTGCGGGCACCGTGGCGCAGCGTAGGAGAGATCCGGGCAGGGACTTGGGGGTATGGAGGGAGCAACTCCTCCGCCCCTGCTTGACCCGACCTTCGGTGCCGCGGCCTCCGAGCGCCCAGGCCTGCGCCCGGGGCGATGCTGCGGCGTCGGCTCCGCTCGGTCCCCGGGTCACCCCGCGCTGCGTCTGCCCCTCGGCTGCACGCAGACCCGGAACGGTCCGGGCTCAGCGGCCTCTCGGGAGTCCCAGGTCCCCTAGGCGTTGTGGGGTGTGGAAGGAGCTGCACCTCAGCAGAGCTCCAAAGCGTGGCCGGAGATCTGCACCTTTGGCCGCTGCGCCCTCCCGCCGCCCGAGCTCACGTCGGGGACTCGATCCCCAGAGGCCGCAGGGACGCGCAGGACCCCAGCGCGGAGTAGGGCAGTCCTGGCGTGCGCTAGCTGAACCTTTTTCGGGCGACTTGAGACCCATTAAGGCCACTGCTTGCGTTGTTAGCCGCCTCTTAGCACCTTCCCAAGCCTGAAGCCTTTGCTGTCTGCTTCTCTTGCGCCAGAAAGATCCCTTGAAACAAACCCTGCTTCCCGCCCCAAAGGAACAGGTTCGGAGGTAAACCCAGACGAAATTACACAAGGCCACGGCAACCACTCCGAGTATTTTTGTGGGGTTTCTCAGCTAGTTTCTTAGATTTCTTGGCACCCCCACACCAGTTTTTTCCTAAAGTTTCTGGTGAGACCTTTGGCTCTGGAATACAGTTTTAACAATTTACATGCAAAAAACTGAACTAGTGAGAAGAGACATTTTTGTTTTGTAAATTTTTCTGGTTGTTTATATTTCCACCCCAATTTTTTTTTTTTTAAAGAGAAAAAAAAAATACCTCGGGCTTCGGAAGAAATGATGTTTGCTAGTTCTTCGCTTTTCGACTCTGGAGCTGGAATTTTTAATAGTTAAGGAGACTCGTAAAGCCATAGCATAAAAGGAGTTCACTACGTCTTACTATTATTATTTATTAGTACAATTTTTTAGTTTATTTGAGCTTTGAGGTAAGTTAATTAAGGAACTGAATCAAGTTTCCTTTCTGTTTTCTCTTCATTTCATTCTTTTGCTTTTTTCTTTTTCATGAAAGCTAGTTCATTGTCTACAAAACAGGGATGTATTCTGAGCACCCTAGGAAACACCCTCCCAGGCCTGTTCCTCACCTTACCCACTCCCTCCTTTTCTTCAGTAGTAATAGTTTTAGGTTATGACTTTTTTACATGGTTGAACAATAAGTTGGGGAGAAGTTGCCTGGAGGGTAGATTTTGTAACAGGGTTACAGGATTTAGTGTGTTGTAATAATATTAGTACATAAGTAACCCTCTCCACCACCTGAGGTACAGGGGACTCCCCAAGCCGGGTTCTTTTAATCCGGGAGAGTTGTGAGATAAATAGAAATGCAAGTTCATGACATAGCTCAAGGTTCCCTTTAAGAAGTCACCTTCTCTCAGCTGAACATAATCTCCCATCTATAAGATTCTGCATCTAGAACATGCGCTTAAGGAGCTGAGGCTTTGTGGTTTGATTTGGTTATATTAGAAGGCAATCCCATCTTCACACACCAATCTTCCTCATTCTTCTATCTTGAGATGCTCTTAAAATGTGACAAATGAAATATCAAATATTACCAGAGCAAGCGGGTATATCCTTTTCTCCCACACTAGTCCCTCAAACTGTAGGGCCTTTACCCAGAACAAGACCTAGAAAAGTTTGCAGATGGAGGCCCAGTGGCCCTGAAGCAGCCACTGACCTGTTAGGTATCCATTGGATGAATATGAGTGAGTGTGAGCATGAATATGAGTGAGTGTGAGCACAGTGCACTTACAAAGAAAACCATGCCATGCCAAGCAGCCGTGGAAACAAGTTACAAGAAATTATTTGATTGATCTTAGAACATTAATTATTTTGTTCTGCTTAGAACACCCATGTTACCTGAAACACTCTGAACCTAATGTTTTGTTTTGTTTTTTTCTGTTTGTTATGAAACCAGAATGATGTTAAATAGGACTTGTCTCTTAAAAGATATTCAACAAGTCTCAATTTACTTGTGAAAAGATAGCTGCCATTGGAAAGAAAATTTATCAAGATAGATAATTCTCAGGAAAGCGAATGTGTGAATCTAATGATTTTATATGTAGTTTCTTTCTTAAGGATTTGGATTGCTGGTGTGTGTGTGTGTGTGTGTTGCTCCCTCCCCCTTTGGTGATGGTTTTAAGATTCTTGGAGCTACATGGAGGGCCCATTCTGCCTCTATTCATTTAGGTATTTTGTTGCTCACCTCTTTTAAGGAAAAGATAATCTTGGAAGAGAATAAAAACATCAGGAGTTGCAGATAAAAAAAAAAACATTGACTCTCTTATGAAGTATCATAAAAATCCCTCTTATATTAATAATGAAATTCTATTATTTACCAAAGTAATTTGCTCATAGTGAGCAGCTTAATGGCCACACATTGATTTCTGGACCCAAAAGGTTAGAGAGAACTATAATGAATTGCTTTTTTAAAAAAAACTGACACCTGCAAGATAAGGCAGTTGGAAAGAATTCATGTTTAATCAGGCCTATTTTAAGTTTGCCATAATGGAAGATTCTGGATGAGAAAACGTGAACTACTTTTTTGTTTTGATTTGTTTTTTGAGATTTGTTTCAGGCTCCAGACACTTCCTAAAATATTAACACCAAGCCTGCTTGGGCATGAGACAAGGCATGTGAATTGAAAGTGGCTTTTTGGTGCTGCATGTTTGATGGTATATTTTATATCCAGTCTCTACAGTCAGTGGCTCATAGGCACAAGTATGAAATTATAGGGTATTTTTTGGAGAGATGTTTCTTTTTGCTCTACATCTGGAGGCCTCGAGTTGTCCTTCCCAATATGCTGCAGAATTCTGGTAGAGATCTTGCTGGAATCTAGGGAGATATAGGCAGGGTACAGGCTCAGTGTATACTAGAACATATTTCTTCAACAACCTAAACACAATTTTTCTAACAGAGAGTTCCTGATTCAGAGAGGTAGCCTTGTGTTCCAAAATGTTCTTAGAGGACTGAGAGAGAGAAAGGGAGAGAGAAAGAGAGAATATATTAACCTAAGAGCTGACACCCCTCCCCCCAGAAGAAAAAAAGATTGTGTTCCAGGCTTTTAGAAAACCTGTACGTGT